TTTCTGCTTTTTTTGAAGCCTTGTTAAACTGAACGTTAGCGAAAAAACCTTACTCAAATAATTGTATCATTACAACTGTTACTGATAGCAGTACAGGAGGAAAATTGACAGAAAACTTTGTAACTTCACATTGTGGAAGCAGTCACATAAATTTCAGTTTTCATCGCCATTACTGAAGTGAAGCGAACATCACCGATATTCAGAATAAGCAAGAAAAAACAGCTGCTTTGAAGTTACATCTGAAAAGAAAAAATATAAAGATTAAAGATAAATTAGTCTACGCAACAAATAGAGATGACATAATTTTAATTAAAGGTACTAATTGGCCTGGTCTACCGTTTTGATTACTCTTTTAATTCTTCGTTTGACTGATATTAGTGACGTCTTAGTAACTATGTAGTTCAGTTCTAATAGCCATCAAAACAGTTTTAAAAAAACTTGTCAGTTATTACTTTTGTTTATTTTCGTACACCTTTTTTACAATTACTCTAAAAACTTCCAATTAAGTAGTCTTTGGTAATAAAGAAATTAATAATTTTTTCAACGTTGCTCAAGTGTCGATACTTATTGGCAGTCCAGACAACAAGCAGTACGTATTTGTATCTCTACGCTGCTTTCTCAAACGAATCCTTGACAAATTTTATTTTGTTAATTGCTATTTTACCATACTTCCAAAACTGCGTCGTCTCGTTCTTCTTATTATCAATTTTATACTGAGCTATACTTGTATCTCAGTTCATTCCACATTTCCTCGGCTTGTTCAATAGTTTCAGTCGCTTGGAAATAAATTCTTTTATGCAGGAAAGCTGATCGATTTCTTTTGAATTTGTGATTAAATGCTTTAGTTGAAAAGTCTTTGAATCTTACTCCAACTTTTGTTGCCAACACTCCAGTCAAAAAGTAGTCACCAAACTAAAAAAACCTGCTAAAAGTATGATTTTAATTCACTTATAACTAACATATTACAAGCAAGTGAAATACTCTAACTTTGATATAAGTAGCATTTTTAGAAGCTTCAAACATTTTTTTTACTAGTTGCACAGGAATTATGATTGTCAATCCAGCGCAGTAGTCATTATAATAATCGTTCGGATATTCTGCTCTGCTAATATACCTGCAAAAGACAAGAAACTTAATCGACAGCCATATAGTATATGAAATTAAAATACAAAATCAAGTTTCTTCTTGATTATTTAGGCGGAGCACTTAGACAATAACGAAATTTTTGTTGTTTATCATTAACGCTTTTAGTTTGTAACCTAAAAAAAAAAAATTGGAATTTGACAATTGTTTTATCATTGAAAAATTTAATCTGTAGGCAGTTTTACCATCTATGCTTTGGGTCACGATTGACTTTTGAGTGATATAAAACGTAACAAAATATGGTTTGCTCAACTTCTTTTTCTGAAATGCCACTATTCAAATAAAATTCCAAGTCCTTTATTACTTCCCAGAGGTTTATTATCGTATCGTCATCTACACTAAAAATGTATTTCACGTTCCCGCAATATTCGTTTACAAATCGCAACCACATAACTACCTAGAAGGATCTTTTTGAATTATCATTGAGTTCTATCAAAAACTGAGTCAAAACCAATGTTCTATCAAATTTTCAATTACTACATTAGGTACCTATTATATCTTTGAAAACGTTTATTTGTAAGATTATGACGTTTGAGTTTTAGCATGAAATATTTGCATCTCACACTCAAATTCACTAATACCTCACCTTCCACGGTACATTATAGTAAGTGTCAAGAAAATCTTGTTTAATAATATCATGATAAAGCAAAGATTCTTTTCGCACCAATTTCTCAACTGAATAGTTTCGAGATGCTCCGAGAATAAAAAGGAGGCGAACACCCAGCTAAAACTGTTATATCTTTTAAACCAATATTGATAAATACTAAATCACTTCCCATTTTAAAATGTTCAAAGTTACTTTTGATAATAACAAATAAAACTGCAATTTCAGTAATTTCATATTTGTTTTGTAGTCTCATATTGATCACACTTTATTTTACGCAACACTTAATTCCCAGAACAATTCTGCAATTACTTTGACATTTATAATGCACAGTTAATACTAATTGAACTAAGTTGGCTTTCAGTTTCATATATTAGTAGATCTCTCTTTTAAAAGACTGTAACAAAGGCAGCAATTGTCAATCTTCAACGATGAAGTTCAAAAGCAAAAAAACTTCTAGATGTTTGTTGTGGTTACAAAAAACTGTAATTACTGACTTTCAGAATGAACTGTTAATGAAAATAGCATATAAATAACATCTTAAAATGTTGCAACACTAACAAAGGTCACGTTAAAATTGTCCAGCTTTAAAGTTTGAAGCAGTTTTATTCTTTGAAGTTATATCAAAATTTCACATTTGAGGCTGAATACTGATCAGTAAATAAAAAAGAAACTGTACTACGTCCTTTGTCTACCAATATTAGCGCCAAAAATTAAAATTGTTCAACTCTAATCATGCTAAAATTACAAAGTATTTAATGCTTGCTCAGATTATCATTTAACATTTTATGCATATGCGTAAAGTAAAATATGTTTTATTAAAAAAAAAACAAACAAAAATAACCAAATTAACGTAAAATCTAGAAAATAAATCTAACCAAACAATTTAAGAAATACTGGACAAAAAAGTCTAGATTGAAAAACATTAAAAAATTGCCATGAGACAATTAAAACTACTTATTGGATAAAACGTTATCATACTGCGTAAAACACTAATATTGATATCAATTTCTTCAACGAAAATTTCAGAAAAGCAAGCTAAAATACTAAAAATTTCTAAAAAGTTTTTACTGAATAGCACAATTTGATTACCATTTATTTAATTGTTAGTCCTCAGTTATATATAAAATTGTTCCTAAAAAACAACCAAATGACGAAGATGTTCTTTCCTACTTTTTGAAGATATAGATCTCCGTACATACGTCTGTATGCCTCTCGCCTCTTAAAACCATTGATTGCTGTGTACATGACTATCAAATACCTGGTAGGCACTTTGTTTGCTGTACAGAAATCTCTCTCTAATAGTGTCCAATTGAACCGATATGGATCGACAAACTGGAACAAATTCAAAAAATTCTTAGTAACTTCTACCATTATCTCCGTTCAACTTTGCTATTCAAACTAAAAATAGTCATTATCTTTACTTTGATTTTCTGCAGAAAAAAACAGTGATTAAGTATCAGATTACTGTTTTTTGTACTGCTGACGATTCTCCCGGCGGTACAGCTGTCCACGATTCAAAATCTCTTAAATCTTCAACTGTTTTAGAAAGTTTTACAACAGTATTCCTCATTAGAAAGAATAAAGTACATGCTACCAAACAAGACCGAGCAAACCGCCTCATTTTACGACTGAAGTTCAGGCCCAAGATCATCAGCTGTTAGCTAAAAATTTGTTAATTCAAATAAACCTGTAAACATATGAATGAAAATAATATTTACGCCCCTAACATAAAACAAATTCTAAGAAAAGAGGTCACTTTGCTGGCTGTTGTCTGAGTCAGATAGATGTTAACAGTAAATTAAGATAAGCAGCAAAAAGCAGACCGCAGTGCTGCAGTAGGCTTAAGCAAAAAAAGCTGAGAAGGTGGTGAAACAAAACTGCAAGCAAATTCCTACAAAAAATAAAGAAAAAGTTGACAATAGTTTGAAAAAGAAACAATTCTTGCTGCTAACAAATTCAAGGCCATAAATACACTGCTTTTGTTTATAAATAAACTATTTTTTCAACATTTCTAACTTTGTTCCTCAATTCTTATGCGTTTAAGCCCTTGAATGCCTCAAAAAGTTTTTCAGAAATACTTATCGTAACAATAATTAGAGCACAGTTTATCCAGCTCATCTGAACAAGTCCCCTCGCTGACAGCTGAGTTCAAAACCTAAGCCTCTCATCTGTTATTTAACAACCAGCTAAAATATCAAGACCTGCGAGCTAAAGTCAAAGATTTAAAAGTGTTTGTGCAATTTCAGTTTGACAACTTTCCTAGGTCAAGTTGACAAAAGGAGCAAGTAGATTTTACTGGAACTTGATAAAGCACACCTTTCTGATACAGTCTGTCCAAAGTTAAACGTTAAAGTTTTTGTGGATTTTCAACTAAACTATATTTGTGTATCGCGAAAACTGTTGCTTATATTAAATTCGGCTAATTAAATGTTAAACACATCTAAACCACCGAAGCTATTACAGTTCATTAGCTTTTTCAACAAAGTAAAGAAGTACAGATGAGCAAAATAAGTAAAGGCCAGGTTCCAAGTACTGGCAGATAGCTTGGCGGACTAGGATTTTGATTTGCCGGTGCTCATTTGGTTCGCAGCGCAGTTAGCAACCATTGAATGAAAATCCTCTTTTGAAGATCAACATGAGGCAGACCATAAATATGATACAAATTATCATCAACAATCTTATGGATTTGTTCGGTTACCAGATTATCAAAACACCTCCTTATTTAAAGTATCTAAAAATTTTTCCCATCGAGGGAAAGGTGGAGAGGGGATATCCTCTGAAATCCCCTTTGTTAAGCTCATACCTGAATGAAGTAAAAAAAATTAATTCAGAAGGTAATTATAAAAATAGTTTTTAAGTGCGATTTACTTGTTATACAGCATGAAACCAACTTTATCACATATTCTTAACCCTAAAATCCCAGCAGGCGTCTGTTCAGAATTTTTGACATAAGAAGATATTCCCACTGCACCTCCACCAAAAATCTTTCTCAACACCTACTTTGACATTACTAAGTCCTGAAGAGAAAATATTTAATAAGGCCTTCTTTATCTAACAAAAAACGCTGTTCTGCTATATCTGCTTAAAATGTATTATCGGTAGAACAATGCCAGCACAATAACACAGTACTGCTATTCTGTTCAAATACATTGATTTGATAGAAGAACTACTAGATTCAAACTGAGTAACAAAAGCTTCTACTTATCTTAACAGAAAACACGAATAACGTAGTAAAATCACCAGTAATTCAACAAGAAGAAAAAAAGCAGCTTACAAGTATTGGAAACGAAAAATTACAGGTGTTTATAAAATGGGTAATATGGAATCGCAAACAATTTCAACCACTTCCAGATTGTAACACTCTTTAAGCAAAAAGAAAAATTGCATATCTTCTTTCCCAATCAACCTCAACACAAAGTTTTGATAAATTTAACGGACTTTACGGTGGAGAAACTTCAACACAGACTAGTCGTTTGCGCAGCCCTAGTTACAAATTGTTCTATATGAACCATTCTTTCAAGGTTTTTTCAAGTTTTTATAAAGTCACCATAAAGTCTTAAAAGATACGTGCTCAAAAAGAAGACTCTGCGTCAGGCTTTTTCACAAATTACCTGAAGAGTAATTCGGTTTAACGAACCACAGATTTTTATATTACTGTTGCAATACTAGATTCTAATAGGTACAGTCAATAGCAAGTGTAGACCAACCATAGAGCTACAAAACTTACTTTTTATCTGCACACCAATTCGAAAGAGGTAGATGCGCTTATCAGGATGTATAAATACGGCAAGACCACTGAGATTGAAAGAGTACCGTAGGGCACAATCCCACTACTTGAAAACACTACTAAAGAAGAAGGCCTAAACTAAGAAATATGTCGAGCTAAAGTAAATTACCTTTTTCATACCACATTTTCAGAACATTTAAAAAACTGATAAAAAGAATTTTAAAAAAAAATCAACATGCATGCCACTTACACTTTATTATACGTGATGCTTCGGAATGACTGGATTCTTTGGTCAAGAGGAAAGAAGGAATATCTCGTTTAGCTGATTTTGGCGAAATTTTTGTCTTGTACGTCAGTCAAGCATCCCTCTTACTCTTTGAGAGTTTGCTGGAGAAAAGACCATGTATAGGATCATTTTTGTTTTTGAGTGCTACGGCCTTCATGAAGGTTACCAACTATTTCATTATGTGGCCATTTTTGTCTACCCCTCTTTATATTAACTTTTTCTTCTCTATTCTTCTTAGCACTTTTATTTGAATGCAACTAACCCAACACAGATTCAATTTCTCAATCATTACGAATTTAAAGTGGAAAATAGTCTTTCCACATAGCTTTATATGTAAGGTACAGTAGATTGTCAGCAAAGTGCATTCCGCCACAAGAAGCAAAAAACAACACTTTCTCAGACAATAAATTCAGAAAAAAAAAATTTTTTTTTTCTACATTTGTAATGAATTCAGGTTTTGCTGGTCTCAGAAAAAGTAAAGTCTGAAATTGTACGCGAGCTTTAAGAATAGAAAAGCCATTTACAAAGCATATTGTAGGCCCAAAAATCTTCAAGATTTTACATCTAAAGTACATAAACGCAAATTTCTAATCTGTATAAGCTTTGTTGTACAATAAATTAACATAATATTCGACTATTTGACAGGTTAGAACCTGTGGAGTACGCTGTAAACAATCTGCTTGTCTTTGCTAAAAATATTGCAAAGTACATTCTAGCATAGAATTAAAGATATAAGAAGACTCTAAACGAAGAAATCAAAGAATTGAAATCTTTAAATTTGGCTACCCAGCTGACCTTAAAAACGAAACAATGAGAAAATAAAGTCAAAACTTTAATTATTCAACGCTGGCCAAATTCTTTTCTCAGGCAATGCAAGAGATAACGAGCTGTTTCAACGCGCTCTGGAATGAAGATAAAGTTTGTACAACGCGATACAAATGTTTCAGTTGTCTAGAGCCGATCAAAAGTAGTGAATGGGTTCACGGTGGAAGTATAGAACAATTATTTCC